AATGGGGGACATTTTGAAAGTTCTCCTGGACAGAAGGCTGAAATGTAGAGTATGTCCTGGAAAAGGAGGACATTTGGTCACCTTGTCTTTCCTTAGGACTGTAGCTTCCTCTATTTATCTCTAAGTATCCTATAATCTCTCTTCTGCCTACCACGCTTCTATCTTACTGTACTCTTTACACTTATTCTATCTCAAGATTAATTTAACTTCTCTTTCTCTGCATATCGCTAGCTGTTACATTTTGCTTTAATGAGTGACAGGAAAACATGTAGCCCTTTGGATGCTGTAGCACTGTAACTCCCAGCATCCTTTATAATTGGCTATGCTAGCTATGGCTTATGGGAGTTGTAGTGCAACAGCATATCTTCCCCCACCCAAGCTCTATTGCCTGACATCTACCACATTACATCCATCATCCCATTTGAAAAGCAACTAGAGTTTAATCTTTTTCCTCAACCCTTTCTTCTCTGATTTTCCTTCTCAGCCCCTGGGCCTTTCCTGACCCATTTCCTTGGACTTCATTTCTTTTCTCTGCTGGACACCTTTTCTGCAAGTAGGGATTGCCTGTTTGAAGTACTTGTAAAGGCACCTAGTTTTACAAGTTGTCTTTTTAGGCAATTTTTTTATCCTTCCTAAACTGTAATGCTGGTGGTCATTTAACTCCAACAAGAGATATCATTTGTGGACTGGATGTGTGCAAGGGGGCAAGGAGTCCTAACAGAAAGCTCCAAATCCACAAAGGGAATGAATGGTGTGTCCAGGGAGAAATACAATATATATATTAGATTAACATATTCTCCGGCTTGGAGAAGAGAAGACTAACCATATTTAAATACTTGAAGAGATGTCATTTAGAAGATGGAGCCAGCTTGTTTTCTCTTGCTCTAGGAACTCGAAAACAAACCAACGGATTAAAATTACAAGGAAGAGATTCCACCTAAACATTAGGAAGAACTTCTTGATGGTAAGAGCTGTTCAACAATGGAACAGATAGCTCCATTGTGGGGTGGACTTTCCATGTTTGGGAAATATTTCAACACAGGTGGGATGATCATCTCTTGGGAGTGCTTTAGTAGTGTATTCTTGCATGGCACGGTTTGGTCTGGATGGCTGTCATGGTCCCTTCCAACTCTATGGAGTTTATCACTCAGGGGAAATTGGTAGTTTAAATGATGATGATTGCACAATCGAGATTAAAATGTGATTAAAACGCAATTAGCCATTATCACATGAATAACCCAGGGATAACCAGGGATAACCTGGCAATAAACAGCAAAAAATCATTCACGGGAAAATCCCCATGAATGATCTGTTGCTGTTTATTGCCTGGTTATTCCCAGGTTAATGGCACTTTAATCGCTTTTCATCACAACGTGTATGAAAACCATTAGTGCAATTGCACGGTTATCATGGTATAGTCCCGTGATAATCGCGCTTTGAACACAATGTCGTGTGAAAATGTTAATTGTGAATGCGCGATTTTGATGGGTTAATCAGCATTTATACTTCCAATTGTCCCTGTGTGATAATGTCCTATAATTCTGTGATAAAGTCAAATGCAAGTCCAGCGTTTGAAAAGGTAGTAATCCGCCCTCTTCAGTGGAAGCATTCACACATTAAATTGCAAGACCTTGAGCGAGTCATCAGATTTGTCCATGATATTGTCAAGTGGCCCTGGGTAGTTAAGACCAGTCCAAAAATGCCCAGGATCCAGGAACATACCTTATTTTCCTGCGTATAAGACTACTTTAAAACCTGCAAAATCTGTGGTTAAAGTGGGGGGGTCGTCTTATACGCCAGGTATGAGGATAAGGAGGATGGGGGTGCTAAAACTCTATATTTTGGCTGGAAAAATGGGGGGTCGTCTTATACGCCGGGTCGTCTTATACGCCGGATTTTTTAAATTGCAAAGATGGTTAATAAGTTCCATCTTCCTATCAGGGATTTTCAGTTTAGGTTGAGAGAGACAGTGACTGGTCCACAGACTCTCCAAGATAAATTGAAGATATGAACCTATACAATCAATAGCCTGATCACATGGACCTCCCAATGTGGTTGGATTGCACATTGCATTAGCCTTAAGCACATAGCTAATGCTGAGGAATAGTGTTAGTCCAATCACATCTGGAGAACTGTGCAATTCCTACTCCTACAAGATTGTGGAACCTGTGACCCTCTCGATATTGTAGGACTGCAATTCCCATCACCCCTGAATATTGTCCCTGTTGGCTAGAGCTGACTGTTTGGCGGTCAGATTCCAGAAAGTGGTGCCAACCAAGCATCTTCTGCCCAGCTTAATGGCAGCTGCTTTCCTTTAAGATAAGACACGTAAGATCCATAAGATCCATTGTGGAGGGTTGTTAGGGGATTTAAATATTTATTTTTAATTAATCTGATGCTGCTGTGGTATAACTGCTCAGGCTGGATTTTAAAACAATATATTTTAATATGGGTTTTATTGTTGTGAAGACTTTGTCTGAAAAGATGGCATGCAAACAGCTAAACAAAAATAAAATATATAAAATAAACAAAGCTTTTCTTGATAGAGATGAAATCCTTGTGAAAGCATTGTCCATTTGGTACTGATTTATTGATTTACGGCATGTTTAGGCTGCTTGTTAACTGGAGTCCTCTGGGTGGTGTACAATACATTCAAAAGTATAAAATACAAACAATAAAACAATGACTTCAGATAGCACATAATAAAACCTAGATAACCAGCATTTCATGATCGTGTTATGCAGCTGTTAAGGCGTGGAAGCATGTCTGTAAAAAATATGGCAAACCTACATCCTTGACATCATATAAAACACTCAAGGTTGAAAAATAAAAAAAAAGTTGAAGAATAGTGATGAGTTAAAAAAAAATTGGAAAATTACCTATATATTGGCCAAAGTGGAAAACATTTGTTAAAATCAATTAATCTCAGGTGATTAGAAAAAATTGAACTAAAGGGCTTGGGTATTAGAATATAGAAAATAAATTAAGAGCAGAGAATATAAAGGAATATAACTAAGGTATTAAATGGAAAACAAATCCAATAACATCAAAAATCCACCAAACAGTGATACCTCAATGGGGCCAACCGAAATGCACAATATACATGTTGCAAGCTCCACTGGCTTCTTTATCAGGTAAGATTTTAAAAACCATATAAGGGGGGGGGAAATTAAAGATGTTTTTAACAGCTTGCCTGATGAAGAAGCCAGTGGAGCTTCGAAAGCTTGCAATATATCTATTGTGCATTTTGGTTGGCCCAATAAAGGTATCATTGTTTGGTAGATTTTGGATGATACTGCCGTATTGCCAAAATGGCTACTCATGGATGTTAAACAGAAAACAAGTAATCTTTAACAGAAACTCAATAAGGTTTGTGCTGCTCTGTGACCGTTATAAAGATGAACTGAACAATACGGTTAGATGAGATGTATATGTAAATACATTTAGGTTGTGAGTATGATATTATAACTTGAAGATATAGTTTTAATTTTGCTTGTTGTTTATGGCACAACAATTACTATTACATTCAGTGGTTTATGGACATTATGATTCATAAAGAAATGTGTTTTTAATTTTAATTTTTTAAAAAATCATATATGACGCATCTCTTATTTAGCGAACAAACATTAGAAGTAAAAACAATGTATGATACCAAGGTTCAAGTCAGTGAACAGAGAAATGTGTTAATTGTTTATTGTCTAATTTTTTAGAGCTGTGATGTTACTGAATAGGAAATTTATTAGAAAAGCTGCACTAAATCTCTCACACATATAAACACACCAGGTTTAAAGCTAGAACCAAAGCATCCATCTTCTCTCTCCCCAGCAGGGTTAGTCATGAGCAGCTAATCCCAATGCCAGTAGAAAGGGGAGGCTGTCAACAGCAGCAAAGTCTATAAATAACCATCTGAGAACACCGAGTTCAGTGCTGACGCATGTTGCACAAGTGAAGCACTCCCTCGACCCCAGACCACCACAAATACACCCTTCCTGCTCCTCACTACCTTTCCGTTCTTCCTCTTTCATAGAATCATGGAATCCTAGAGTTGGGAGAGACCCCAAGGGGCCATCCAGTCCAACCCCATTCTTCCATGCAGGAACTCACAATCAAAGCACCCCCTGTGACGGATGGCCATCCAGCCTCTGTTTAAAAAACCTCTACAGAAGGCAACTCCACCACTCTCCAAGGGAGTGTGTTCCTCTGTCAAACAGTTCAAAGTCAGGAAGTTCGTCCTAATGTTGAGGTGGAATCTCTTTTCCTATGGCTTGCATCCATTGCTCAGTGTCCTATTCTCTGGAGCAGCAAAAAACAAGCTTGCTCCATCCTCAACATGACACCCCTTCCAATACTTAAACAGGGCTATCATATCATTACTTAACTGTCTCTTCTCCAGGCTAAACATACCCAGTTCCCTAAGTCGCTCCTCATAGGGCTTTATGGTTTCCAGACCCTTCACCATTTTGGTCACCCTCCTCTGGACATGTTCTAGCTTCTCAACATCCATTTTGAATTGTGGTGCCCAGATCTGGACACATTATTATTCCAGGTGAAGCCTGATCAAAGCAGAATAATGGCATTATTACATCCCATGATGTTGACACTATACTTCTATTGATGCTGCCTAGAATCACATTGGCCTTTGTTGCTGCTGCATCACACTGTTGTATCATGTTCAACTTGTGATCTACTAGGACTCCTAGATCCCTTTCATATGTAGTCTTGTTAAGCCAGGTGTCCCCCATCCTATATCTATGCATTCAGTTTTTTTGCCCTAAGTGCTGTACCTTACATTTCTCCCTTTTGAAATTCATTTTGTTAGTTTTAGTTTTCTAATCTATTAAGATAATTTTGAATTTTGATCCTCTCCTCTGGGGCATTTGCTATTCCTCCTAATTTCTCTTGCATATATGTTCCCCTTGTTCCCCAATTGACTTATGGTTTGCTTCTTCTTTAGGCCTTTCCCTTCTATATGCCTTTTCCTATTACTCTCTTCCCCAAGAGCCAGAGTGGCATAGTGGTTTGTGCATTGGATTGCAACTCTGGAGACCAGGGTTTGATTCTCTGCTCGGCCATGAAATCCACTGGGTGACCTGGGGCAAGTCACACTTTCTCAGCCTCAGGAGAAGACAATGGCAAACCTCCTCTGAAGAAACCTGCCAAGACAACCCCATGATAGGTTCACCTTTGGGTCGCCATAAGTCAGAAATGACTTGAAGGCACACAGCAACAAGAGCAACAACAACAACAATGTAACATTGGGCAAGTCACACTTTCTCAGCCTCAGGGGATGGCGTAGTGGTTCGTGTGTTGGATTATGACTGTGGAGACCAGGTTTCAAATCCTGCTCTGGCTATGCAAACTCATTGGCCTTGGGCAAGTTACACTCTCTCAGCCTGAGAGGATGGCAGTGGCAAAGCCACTCTGGAGAAACTTGCCAAGAAACCCCCATGATAGGGTCACCATAAGTCAATGGGGAATACCTTTACATTTATTTTAACATGCTATACCCCACCTTCAGCCTTGGAAAGAAATACAATTTATTGTTTATCTGGAGGAACACAAGAACAACAAAAGTATTTCTTAGATGCAGTTGTATTTCCTGACAAAAAGGGGATGTGACACTGGTCAATCCCCAGCTCAGTATGTCATCCTTAACCATCCCCAAAGCTATCCCAGGTCCCCCTTCCATCTCTCCCTGCCCCAACCATGTGTCCAAAATGTCATTCCTGTCACACTTTGCTCTAATTCACATCCAAACTCCTCCTGCCGCCCACCGCTAGCAGCAGGTGCAGGTTAAGGATCCCTCTGTATGTGTGTGTGATGGGGCAACCTGAGCTCACTCATGGTTCCTCTGAGGACAGCGCGGTCACTGGGTGCAAGGCTGAAAATCTATCAAGATTTCCTGGAATGAGCTTGAGCCACTGGGTTCATAAGGCAGGCAGGAGGGAGGGAAGAGGGAAAGGAGCCAGGAATCATGGAGTTCAGGGACATCAGGCTCTTTAGGAGGAGGAGGAGCAGCAGTAGCAAATGAGATGGTGTTTTTGCAACTGGCCTGCCTGGACAAAGAGAAGAAACACATGTGCTGGCTCTGTTCGGTCTGATTCTTGCCTACCTGCCCATCCCTGCTGTGTTTGTTGATCCTTCCTGGCTGAATGTAGAGGGAGCTGGGCCATGGGCCAAGATATCCTGGCTGGATGCCAGTCCCTTACATAACAGCAACGAGTGACTTGTGTAATCTCTGTCAGTGTGTATGTGTGTATGGATGAAGAAGACTGGGCATTGAGAAGGAGTATTAAATGGCATCTGCAACCCTACGGCTCTTTGCTAAACCCTACGCAGCACCTCCCACCTGGCAGAAACCCCAGGTTGTCCTTATCTCATTGTGCAAGCCAGAATCAAGATCTCGGTGCAAATTCTGAGGCAGGTACATTGGAACAACAGAGGCAAAACAAGTGCAGACTTTGAACTTGGACGTGTGGAGGCAACCATACAGGTTTTTGCAGGGTGGGACAGTGATGTACTCAAGCCTTTTACTCCAAGGACAATAACACAGTACACTGGTATAGTGCAATTATTCCACTTTAACTGCAATAGCTGGCTCTTCTGGAATCCTGGGATTTATACTTCAAGGAGGATCATTTAGAATTCTTAGCCAGAGAGCTTGTAGGCTTCGATAAACTGCAAACCCCAGAATCCCACAGGAGTTAGCCATAGCAGTTAAAGTGGAATAAGAGCACTACAAAAATGTAGTGTGATCCTGTCTCAAGTCTGTACCTTCGAGTCTCAAGTTCTTGCAAGATACTTTCAAGTCAAGTCTCAAGCCTGGGAGCCAACTTTAACAGAAAGAA